GGGGGGGGGGTGGTTAGGGGGGTGGTTAGGGGGTAAAAATAAGTCTAAAAGAACACCCCTAACATTTTGAACTTATGATCTTTTTTGTTTGAAATTATAAACAAAATATTAGAGATATCTAACAAATTTGTACAAAGAAAATAAAGGTTATTCTCTAACAGTGTACACCGCAATAGTTGAATATTCTCTTGATAAATATTAAAATTCTTCTTGAAAAAAATCTTTTATCTTGTCATCTGAATGTAGTATTTAAAAAAATTAGATTTCTCCTGGTTGGATCAAATTTTGTCTTTGTTTCTAAATGTACTCTCTGTTGAATGAGCTAGAACACCTTGACTAGAACCATTGTTTCTCTCTTTACTCTATGAAAGCAGAACCCACCTTATACCTCTAGTGAGCGTAAACTAAAACTAAACTGCCGGCGTTAACGTCTTTAAACGCTGTTGTACTGGAAAGCAAGAAAGTCCCGGTGATTTGAGCGGGCCAATACCACGGTGGCTGAGAGAGTTGAATGCAGGCCTAGAACTATTTAACCGCGCTTTCGTTTTANAGCCGACCTATTTTTGACACCGATTCGAATCGTTAGAGGGGGAAACGCCCAATCTTTAATATATATTCATAGAAATATATAATATAAATCAATATTAGGGTGTCAAGAAAATTGTTGAATACAAGAAAGAATATGTAATGAGTTTATAGGCTTGTTACAGGGTGTCATAAAAACATGATAATGTCTTTATAATTATTAATTATATTCATATTTACCTTGTCATTTCGGTTGTTTATGAAACTATATATACTGGCCAATAAGAGTACAAACGGCTAAACAGATCAGTCTCACATCATGTGTGGAAACTCCTAGAAACCTTCAGGAAAAAATGTAGGCTTGTCAAACTTGGAAATGTTGGAATTTAGCCCTAGCACAATTGCCAACCTATATTAGACAAAAATAGCCAAATCTGGATGGAGTTAGCGAATGGCCATACTGATTGTTAAAGGAAAATTTAACAGCAATAAATATAAAAAGGCAGTGAATGACAAAAGAGTTTAAAGTCTATCTTTAAAAAAGGCTAAGTCAGAATTATAAAATGTTACTGTTGCTTTATATTAAAGTGTCTGAAAACGTAATTCTAGTAAACTTCTTTTTAGAAAGTTGTATGCCTGATTCACAACGATACCTTGCAACCTTTGTCGACGATGATGAAAATTGTGTATTTTGGTTTCTCTGCAATAGTTTTTAAGAAAGAAGAACGGCAATATTATCCAGATTAAAGAATATAGAAAACTGCTTGATCTAGAGCCGGGATTAACAGCAAACAATTTTGGCCTCTCTTCATCCAGAGCCAGGATTAACAGCAAACAAGTTTGGCCTCTGTTCATCCAGAGCCGGGATTAACAGCAAACAAGTTTGGCCTCTGTTCATCTAGAGCCGGGATTAACAGCAAACAAGTTTGGCCTCTGTTCATCTAAAGCCGGGATTAAAAGCAACCAAGGTTGGCCTCTGTTCAACCAGAGCCGGGATTAACAGCAAACAAGTTTGGCCTCTGTTCATTGAGAGTAGGGATTAACAGCAAACAAGTTTGGCCTCTGTTCATCTAGAGCCGGGATTAACAGCAAACAAGGTTGGCCTCCGTTCATCCAGAGCCGGGATTAACAGCAAACAAGTTTGGCCTCTGTTCATCCAGAGCCGGGATTAACAGCAATAATCTGTTTTATGAAAAGTTGACAGTAAACTAAATAAAATATTGAATATATCTATTAATTTTTAGTTGAAGAAAATTCGATAGTTTTAGATAATTAATAAATTATAATTTTAAGAATGTTCAGTTTTGTTCCTTAATACTGATAATTTAAGATTAAAAATTCCTAGCTTTACAGAACTGTTATTAATTGTTAAAGTTCAAGATCTTGCACGTACGCGGTCCATTTCTATAAAGCTATTTAAAAAACATTATCGATTTTGGATTATTTTCAAAATAAAATTTTAATGTCTTTTTTATATTCTGAATTTCTGATAAAATACAAAATGCAAAACTTTTAATAAATATGCAAGTTTTTGCCTAATTTTTTACTAAAATACTGTTTTCAAACATGTCAAAACGTTTATTTGCCATTTTTTTATACTTTCTACATTTCAACATGTGATCAAAGCAAATAAATTTTAAAATGTAAAGCTTTCAAGATATTTTTGCGTAAGATTAAAATAATTTACTATTGTAAAATAGAAATTATTTTGTAATGTAAAAGCTGAAATAAATTATAATAATGTAAAATGTAAAATGTAATTCAGTACATAATAAGGATTTATTTCGTAGAATATCATATAACAATTAGCAAAAAAAGTAAGCTAATAATATCTCTCTTTAAGAAGTAGAAACAATATAATCCATACATGCGTACTGCGTAGAATGCACTTTTCAATGCACATGAAATAATAGCTTTACATAAACAATAAACATAGGAGTTTAAAGACGATTTCCTGATCGTCTTCGATCTAAACGCAAAAATGATGACAACATTTTAACGCGAGCAAAATGTATTTCAAGAAAGGCAAAATCAAATATTGTTAACATGAAAATTCGCAATTTATTAATATCAAAACATTTTACTGCAGTTTCTTGAACCAAGGCGTATACAATATCACAGAAATTTCACTAGAAGGGAATTATTCACTTTGGCGTACTATACCGTTTAACCTCATATAGTCTGTATTTGTACTGTACTGCTTGCCCTGGGCTAGATGAAATTCGGGCCAGTACATGAAATGAACCAGAAAAGCGTACCCGTGATATCCAGCTAATGAACAGATTTCTATGTTTTCGATAGGTTTGTGGAACTGCATTCAGTCAATTTCGATATATCGAACACAACGTTAGCTTAATTGAAAAACCCCATAACTAAATGTATTGCAAAATGTAATGCTACTTGATAGAAATGTATAAAGAGGAATAAGTTTATGAAAGCCAAAAAGAATTGAAAATGAGTATATGCAATTATGTCTCGTTTCTACTCCTTAAATCCTGAGCTATTAATATGTGAATTTTTAGAGCACTTTCGTGGATTTTTCTTCGGTGATGTATTTTGAATGATGTTTACAAATAAAAACGTGTTCTACCTGATAAAAGATATGTAACCATAAAAGTACATCTAGAAGGCTGCAAGTTCACTTAGAATAAAGTTTAGCAGTAGGTGCTATCTCTGTTTAAGTGTGTATCTGTATCTTGAAGAGTACATTGCATTGTAACCCTATATCTCTGTTGAAGTGTGTATCTGTATCTTGAAGTATATCTCTGCTGCGCGCGCGTACTTTAAAACCAGGATAAGCGAAGAGACGTGGGGATTTGCCCCACCCCCTTCAAAACCTCTTTATAAGCACAGCAACTAGCAAATTCGTAAAAATCCATTTATTACTAAAAAAAAGTTATCAAAAATAATTTTAAAAACGTTAAATTGTGCAAATTAACTCTGAGAGAGTGTGTGCAAAAGTTTTGCAAGATATTGATGCAAAAAATGCAATCTTCTTACATACGTTATGTAAACTACAGAGGAAATCACTGTATCAAATCAAATCAAATCAAATATATATATTTGTCCAAAGCCAAAAGCATAGAAAATATCATATTTTAAAACATATTTATAAACTTGAGACGGGGAAACATTGAAATGTGACATAGACCCCCCCTCCCACCTTGAGCTGGGCTACTTCTTGCATTTTTCTAAACGTGTTTTCCGTTCGTTCCCGTGAAAGAACGATCGTTCCCACGGAACGACGCCCAGTCCTACCCAGCCCCTCATTCTCCAGGCTATCAAGGTTTTAAATTAGCATGGTGAAATAAGTGAGTAAATAACGAGATAGAGTATAGGGATACACTTTAAAAGGAGTGTTCGCTAAAAATGAAAGGGGGTGTAGGCTTACGGCGAAAAATAATCGCTTTTGGTCGCTACTAATCTTAGTTTTATCTCATGCGTCTATAAGTCTATAAAAATGACTTATACTGAAGAACGTAGCGTCTATACAAATTCAGAAAGTTGTAATATACAACTCGGATCGTAAAAAAATCAATTTATTTTCAAACAAATCATTCAGATATTATACCGATTATTTTCCAACGCATTCATATGTAATTAATATTTAATAATATTTTTCATTTGTTTTGTATACAATGCACTTAAAACGCCGAAATAGGTTGGCCGCCAGGTGTCTCTGCGCTCGCTGCTTTGAAATTCCCAAACATTCTGTTCATAGTTTAAACAAAAATGTTCGTAATTCTGGATTATTCTTGGTAGATTTATAAGATATTACGAACAAAATATGAATTTGATTTTTTATGAAATATTAATTTTTTCATATTTATGGAAGAATATTTAATTTTATATTTTAATTTCTATTTTAACTTCTTTTGTCATTTTCACCGCTCGGAATTAGAGAAACGCATTTATTCAAAAAGATTTAATTTATTTAATTCTTTGAATTTTGTTAAATTAAAATAGTAAGGAATAGTGTTTATTCAATCAATTCTAAAACTATTCTACGAAAAACCTGGCAAAACTAAACAATTCCAAAAAAAAGGTTTTGTGAAACAAAGATGAAGAAAATTAAACCCCTTTAAACTCAAGTTTACAAACTAATTATGTTCTTAAAGTCGTCAAACCCTAAAAGGTGCAATGTATTTTTTTAACTTGCTTAACCCGAGAAGCTCTGAATACTCTTTTGTTGAATTTTTTCTTGAATTTTACGTAAATTAATCAGAGTAGAATGTCCCAGATTAGAACGCATTTACATTGTTAATATTCATAAGCTACCCCAAACATTTTAATTTTAATTATTTTATTTACAACGGTTTTAAGTAGGGTTGGGCAAAGTTCCGTTAACAAAACGTTTTTTAATTAAAAGACGAGTCCTTTAAGGATCGGCAAGAACCGTTAATGTTTAAATCATTAACTAATGAAAATTTTCACGTTAAAAGATTTTTAATATATTTAAGCGCTTTTAAAAGCCCTCTTCAGCATTTATTTCCCTTGGCTATTTGTTGAATTATCGAATTTCATGTACTTTGATAGTTTTTACGTGTTCTTATGATTTGGAATGTTGTCTTTATATTTCGTCAGCTACTTTTACATGAAATAATCGTTAACAGCTGGCACCGTTAAAGAGTTCTAAAATGTCTGCCGTTAAAGCCATCAATAGTACTTAGATTGTTAACAAACGGTATAGCTTTCAAAACACACGTAAAATACTGTTAACGAAATTAACGTTCCGTTTTAAGCTAAAAACGAACGGCTACCCAAAAACAAAAAATTATTGTTTCAATTAACCGTTATTTAGTGTAACAGCATGAAAAATGTCAATGCGTGCACAGCTCTAGTTTTAAGGAGAATCAAAAGTTTGCTAAATCGTTGGCAAGCCCCTGATTCCAGCTGTATAATGCATTTTGTAATCTTAATTATTTACTAAAGAGGTAGCGCTCTAAACTTGATAAGATT